AAAATGAACACAAAACGATCAGCTTTAGAAAAGGACTCGTAACTGGAAAAACCGAATGAAAAAAGAATGTTAACAACAAATACTTTTTCACACCCAACCCAGTTCTGCGAAATCAGAATCAACGTTGAGTTTAAGCAAGCGAATGAGCCAATTGGAGTAAAGTGCCTGGAAGATTTAAATTTTTCCCACTTGTGACGAATGCAGCTATCGATTTTTTTGCATGCTAGCATGCTAGTTAACATTCGTGTCAGTTAGCTGTTGGCTCTCACGCTGGCCAATAGAATCTTCCTGCCTATTCGTGGCAGCAAGCTATAGGCTCTCACTCTGGCCAGTAGAAAATGGCCGCAAACTACACGAAAAATGCCGTAGAAGCATGAAAAAATCGATTATTTCCACTATCGATGGGAGTTGGGCCTTTCCTGGTCTTTCCGCTAACTTGGAGCATGTGCATGTAAATTTTGGTGCAAATCCGTCGAAAATTGCGACCGTGCATTCGTTACACACACACACACACACACACACACACACACACACACACACACACACACTGCCTTTTATAGATAGAGATTTTTTAATCAATTCATCCCAAGCAAGGCAATAATACCATTAAAGCGCAATTGGCTACTGGGAGTGAAAAGACTTTAGAAGGAACCGGAAATCTAAACCTAAATAGGAAACAAGGGATAAACCTCTACGTTTCAAAAGTGTAATCAAAAGAGGAGTGTAATCCGGACGTTAGATTCGCTTATCGCCCGGCTCACACTCCTCCTCGGGCTATGCTAGGAATATCTCGCCTAGTTATTATTTTTCAGTACTACTCAGTTATTCCTTGCCAACTTTCCACAGAGTTCGAGTACACACCGTCTGGCACGGGATTGAACTCACATATAATATGTAATAAAATTCACGAACTTTAATCTAATGTATTTGAATTCGGAAACTTATATTGCTGATATCCCTGAAGAATGGACGGACAGGCCCGCCTACGAAACTCTGGAGTCAGGAGGCTGAAGGTAACATCAATCAGCAAAGTGGCAACGTTTTACTTATATATATATATATATATATATATATATATATATATATATATATATATATATATATATATATAAAAAAAGCAAATATATGGATATAGATCCAACAGTATGAAGAAAAATATACGGAAAAACAAACAAAAATCCTAATATCCAATTATGCTGTTTTAATGTTAATATAATATCAACGTCGGACGTTGACATTATATTAACATTAAAACAGCATAATTGCATATTAGATTTTTGTTTGTTTTTATATATTTTTATATATATATATATATATATATATATGCGTGTGCGTGTGTGTGTGTCATCCACAGACAGACTGCTTTGCTGTATCACAGCTCCTCAGTGTGGCTAGACGTCCCACTGCTTCAAGCCGGGATCGAAACCCGACTGATTTGACATCAGTCAGATATCATACCCATCGTCGCAAGGCAGAAAGGAAGGGAATTTAACGTTTTTCTTCTATACGCCAGTGACCCGGAAAACTCAATTTGTACTTAAAGAGTAATGCTTAACAGCATAGGAGCCACTGTTTTTACCCACCCACTTCTTTCGAGAGCTCAACCGGATTCCCGGGAGCATATATATATATATATATATATATATACCTACAAGATTTCTCTTGAGACTCTTAGAACCTTTTATTTAAATTCATACATATTTCCTCCTTGTATTTTTGGGAGCCTTTTTTCATTGTGCTTTTCGAAATTCTGATGCAGGATTAATATTATTTGTTTGTTTAGTGTTAATTAAATTTCTTGCTGGTTTTTAAGTAGCAACGAAATTCTCCATACAGAATCTTCCCCAGAGGCAATAGACCAAAATTAATTATATAATCGAATTTTAATTTAAAAATTCATATCGTCTCGGCATCATCCACAAGACCCTAAACAGTTGCCACAAATTAATGTTTTATCGTCCCCATGACAACTTAATTTTGAGCCCTGGGACATGAATATAGCGTATATACATGTACGTATATACAGGGTCAGTGGCGGATCTACGATGAAACTAATGGAGATTAACCTAATTCAACGGGAGCTCCTGAAGCAAATTTTTTTTAATGTGTCTTTCAACAAAATTGACGTTTTTTTTTTAGGTGTTTGTTATTAAAATGAGGTCATTTTGCTGACAGAATCGTAAGCGAATGGTTTGAAGTAGCTAATGTTGGCCTTAGAATCTATCAAGACCACATTCGTGTTGATGCGATCGGATCTTCGATACTCGCCCTTATTCGCTCAAATACTCCTTCCTTCCTAACTGAACGTGGTCTGTCACTTTATGGAAGGTCACTTGCTGAACCTTTACGCTTGAAGACTCTCACACACAGTAATGGCGACGATATGGCGCTTGAGTTTGAATTATTAATCCGTGCTTTTCGCAGAAAGATTTCACTCTTGTGTTCGTTTTTCAGTTGTGACATGATTAATTTCCAAAGACCCCTTTTTAAAATACCTGAATGAAAACTAAAACAATAAACAAAACTTACAAAACCCTTTGTTACTTCTGAGAGAACCTGTAGTATTATCGCTTTCCGCACCCCGAAAAGCTGACTGATAAGAGACAGATATGTCAAGAATTGATTAACACCCAGTCTAGAATTGACGAATATTATCATGCCTTATTAAAATGTTTCTCTGTGTAGCAGTGTTCGAGAAAGAACTGACTTAACTGATGCTGAAAGGAAAAGTTAAACCATAGAATAAGTCATGCTTCGGTTATCGAAATTAAAAACAACCAAAAAAACAAAAAGGTAGTTACTTACTGAAATAGACGTCATTCCAGCTATATTTCATATGATCCTTGATCTTTTTGCCCTGTTTTCTCAATTCAATTCTGGTTTTTCGTCGTGTTATTTTAATTTCTTCATTAATTTTGTTCTTACTAGGAAGTTTCTAAAGTCACAAGAAAAAGATGAACACAATTAGCTTGTTCTTATTATGAACACAAGTAGTTTATTCGAAAATAACTGCACTTGTAAAAGGCTAACGCCATTTGCAATGAACGAAGTACGCATGTTTTCGTTCTTTATTTTTAAAAGGTCTGCTGGAGGCTTTGTACTTCAAAAGGTTTCGTAAACATGACACCTGAGAAAACGGAAATAATTTTACATTGTCGAAAATCAATTTTATTTCACAATGAATTAACCTGGGTTAAGAAATCAAAACAAGGCGGCTTCGATGTACCACAAGGCCTACATATATGAAATTAACAAAATTGTACATATAAACAACCACGGTCTATATAGGGATGACGGCCTGATGATAGTGCCAGACAACAGAAGAATAAATGACAATATAAGAACAGAGCTCTTCAAACTCTTCAAAAGCCTCGGCTTTGAAATAGAAGTCGAAATAAATAAAAAGCTTGTCAATAATCTGGACGTAGATTTAAATCTTCAAGCTGGTAGTGTCTCCCCATGCATGAAACCCAACACAAAATTAAAATACGTGAATATTGGATGTAATCACTCTAAAGAAATAAACTCTAGGTTATCCAGAAACACTTCTATTAAAATAATTTTTGAGGATAAAAAGAATATAAAAAGAACTTAAAGATACCGAGTCACAAAACTAAACTAGAATTTAAACCTGAAATTAAACAACATATGAAGAACAATTCGAGGAAAAGAAAAAATATCAATTGGTTGAACACCCCTTTTAAATTAGAGGTATAAGATAGGGAAATTATTCTTCAAATGACTTACTAAACATTCATTTACCCCAAAATTCAGAATTACGGAAGATATATAACAAAAGCGCAGTTAAATTAAGCTAAAGCTACACTTTAGAAACAACAATAAATAGACAAAACTCCAGAAATTTCAAAATTAACGTGCAGCAAAATACAGTTAATACTAGTAATTTATGCAACTGTAGAAATAAAAATAGCTGTCCATCAGATGGAGCGTGTAAAAGCGAATCAATAATCTATAAAGCAGAAGTTATAGATATTAATACTCAGAATAAATCGTACATAGGATCTATTGAAGGTTCATTCAAACGAAAATGGTACGATCATAGGTCGTCATTCAAACTAATAAGTCTTAGGAGCTCTAACAAACTAGCACTTGAGCACGTTTTAATACTATTGTTTCCTGGTCCAATTCAACTGACTATTAAGTTTTTATATATATATATATAACATACTGAAGCAGAATTTTCATGTGACTGATAGCATGAAAGCGTGATACTGACAATCACCATGCTGAGCTGATACAGTCACAGTCTATCTATAAATAATCTATCTCCGATACCTACCACTCTTCACGTATAGATATAGCATATTTTAATAACATATTTAAAGAAAAAAAAAAAAAAAAAAAAGTAATTGCAAATTGGAACTAAATTACCTCCCTTACGTATACTTAATGTAAATTGACTTTAACTGGGCGCGTTTCATGCGCATTTACGAAAAAAAAAATCACAACTATGAATTACATTAATTTTTGTCTTAGTAATTCACTCCTGAAGATTATCGGGATGACACTGAAAGCACTTGGCAAAAATAAAAGTAATAACCAAAACTACGGTGTCTTTCTTACTCAGTTTTGTAGCAGCACTAAGAAATTGATCCATAAAGTGAAGAGGATTAAAATAAAAATAAATATAAATAGACATAATATGTTTAGACTATTCAACCATATATATATATATATATATATATATATATATATATATATATATTAATCTCAAGGGTAATGTAGAGATAGGAAAAGATCCCTCATCACCATATCTATCATCACCACCACTCAGATCAAGTCTAATGATTTTATTATCACTTAGGCAGAAATTTATTTTTGTCAACAGACGAGAAATGAGATCAAGGCTCACTACAAATACAGAAAACGAACGATGAATCATTAAAAGAACATAAGGAATATTTATTCCTTTAAAAATTGATTCCTTTTATTTGCCTGAAGAAGGTTCCGAGAACGGAAACGCGTGTAGCAGAAATATGAAGAATAAAATATAATATATACACTAAAACAAATACACATTATAACCAAAAATGTTTGTGGTTTCTAACTTTTTTAAAAAATATAAATATTTTTCTCTCGTTGGAACAACTATAACATTTTCCCAATATATATATATATATATATATATATATATTATATTTATATATATATATATAAAATTTATGTTTAGGCAGCACTCCTTATTTTATACAGGTTTCGATAAAAAACAAATGACTTTTATACAAGAAATCGCTTTATTCGAATGCAAGAAAAATATACCATATTTTCTTGTCGCTGATACGGCCCGATGTTTCTGAAGCTAAAAACATGGAATGAACTACATCCTTGAGTATAATACGACCCCGTAATACAGCCGTCCCTATGTCATTTTTTTAAAATGTTCCATATTATCTATGAAAATCTCAATGTCGTAGATATATTTCACTAAAATATTTTATTTTCCACGATATTAAGAAACTATGAAGAAATATTGTCTTTCATTAAGAATCAGGAGAGAAAATTTATAATGGAAGAAGAAAATCCAAATATAAACGAAGTTTATTTTTTAGCAAAAAATGTTCTAATTTTAAGCATTACGCCGATTCCTAAAGAATGAATATGGCCGACATTATAAATATTATAAACATTATTATGGCCGACATTATAAACATAATTATGGCCGACATTATAAACATAAAACTTTAACATTATAAAGAAAAAAGATCAAAATATAAACACTATCGGCATATCAAATATATATTGTCAATAATTGTCATGAACACCTGCCTACATTGTGTTTTATTATGTTTTTTATTGTACGAATTTAGTGTTTTTACAAGCTTTCTGTTTCAAATAAGAGGTTTATAAAAGCTGAGTAAAAAAATTCTGAAAACGTGTACTTGTACGACTCACCTTTTTTTGCCTTTAAATTTCTTTCAAAATCTCTCGTATTATACACGAGAAAATATGGTAATAAAAAAACTTAATCGTAGTGCCTTGTCAGTGGTTTTCAATGAAACCTATACACACACACACACATGTATCAAGATAACGATATATATATATATATATATATATTTCATATCGTTCCGCCTTTGTGTGCAATAGATTTGGTCGTAAGTATGTATAGGTAATTACGAAGTTTAGTACAAGACCATAAGATTGGGGCATTCCATCCAAATCACTACAGCTCTAATGCTTTATGCAAATAGATCAGTAAGTATTGCTTCACAGTGAGGAGCCCTTGTTTGTATGAAGGATTAGGAGAATTTGTTCTTACATTTTGATTTAATTTAAGGCTGTTGCTGAGGCAAAGACGTGCGACATATTCTTCGATTTCGGTTTTTACTGAAAATATAAAAGTTGTCCGTGTTCTTAATCAAAAAACAATGTGTGTTAAAACAGTATGAAATAACATGTAAAAGTTTTAGAAGAAAATAAGAAAAATTGCAACAAATATTATTATTATTTTTCCCGTTTCTTGCGTACGTTTTTTTTTTTTTTCGTTTTCAAGCGGAGATCTTAGATTCTGGGTGTTCTCCATCATACGACCTCAGAGAGATAACACCTTTCTCAGAATATTTGCAGAGTCAGGCAATGAAGACTTCTGAAGTGACGCGATACGGGGCTTTATTCTGATTTTCTTATAGAATTTTGAGTTCGGAGGCCGGCCACAATCTTAAAAATGGTATGTAAATGACGCAGTGTTGATAGCAGACACAGAAAGAAATCTACAAAAACTTCTATAGAAGGCAGTCAAAGAAAGTGAGAAGAAAGGACTAAACATTAACTGCAAGAAGATAGAATGCATAGTTATTAGCAACATGATGAGCCCAAAATACGAAATGCAACTTGGAGATAACAAAAATAATTGTACTTCGTCGGACTTCTCAATCTAGGCCGGTTATAAAAAAAACCCGAGTCAACGTCACATTTATGCTCAGCCAACATAAATATCAATTAGAAACTTAATTGAAATAATTAACACATTTTTAGATACCAAGAAAATATTTAAGAAAAACAATACTTGTACCCACTAAAAACAATTTGTAGTAAAACGAAACTAAAATGTAATATAATCGAACGCTAAGAAGATAATTTTTAATATATACTGAAAATTCAGTTTTTAGCGTTTACAGATCAATAAAATATTCTATGACAAGGTGAATATTTTCCTGTTTTGTAATACTTTGCTTAGCTTTTAAAAGTCATTTTTCGCTATCCAAATGCCCCTTTGCATTTCGATGTCGCATTTTCCATCCTCGGTTAAAACACTTCCTAGATATTTAATTTTTTTTTTATATATACATTATTTTCAGGTCAAAAGAAAATTAAAAGAAATATTACCTTCTTCGTTACCGACCATCTTCAACGCAGTGACGTTGACGAGCAGAATCCAGCAGGGAGAGTTCAATCCTGGTCTCGCTTCGCTGAAGGACATACCTATTAGACACATCAGGCGGAGGTCTTCTTCACTGGTATAACCGTTTAGTATTTGCAGGCCAATCTGACTGCGAAATTCTTCAATATCGAACACCTGTCAAAGATAATAAGCGTAAAGATAGATAGATAGATAGATAGATAGATAGATAGATAGATACCAATATGGCCGTCAATGATCTATTTAATTTTTATTTTTAGGGCAATTGACTTCGTCAAAAATTTTAAAATCTTCAGGACAAAATTGCGATCCCACATTGCTATAATCTAATGTTATCTTTTTTTTTTTTTTTTTTCAAGAAATTCACCCCAAGCAATGCTGGAGTGCCACTAGCATGCAAGGGGTTACAGAGGATTGGGAACAAGAGTAAAGAAGCGTGTTTTAGGAAAGGATACAGAGAAGGACGTGGAAATCAGATCAGAGTGTCACATATTGATTTACATTACACTTGAATATTTGAAGATTATAGTCATAGCAAATAAGGGAGTTCCACAGACGAGAAGTGCGAGTGAGGAAACTGTTTGAGTAGAAAAGACGGTTACATTTAACTGTTTCGACAATGAAAGGGTGGGACCGAGATGCCAACTTGGTAGCTCGCTTAAATTCATGCAGTCTGGGAACCAGCGAAAGTAGCTCGTCGGAACAGTTGCCGTGAAAATACTTGTAGAAGAGTTAGAGGAAAGCCACGGCATGTCTGTAGGATAGCGATTGTAGACTAGATGCCAGATCAGGACCTATCATCTTGCATATTCGTCTATGGATTTTGTCAAGGACCTCGAGACGTACAGCGGGAGAACCTGACCATATATGAAAGCAATATTCCATGCAAGGATGGATGGTCGATTTATAGGTTTATGGTTAAAGCCTCGAAGACTTTACCGAAGAGTGTTAGGAAACTGATAAGACGGGTCTTAAGTAGTTTTTAGTTACCTTAAATTGTAACTTAATTCTAGACAACTTTTCCCGATAGAATCTATCTGACATATTTATACGTCTACCATTTGTTCTTGCTTTGAATATTGCTGCCATATCTGGACTGATGATCCTGATACATATATTTATAGATTTTTGATAAAATCCAAAGAAGTATCTGCAATGTTATTAGTCCTGACCTGGCATCTCCGCTTCAGTCACTTTCCAAACATCGTAACGTAGCTTCTTTGTGTCTTTTCTAAAAATACTTTCATGGTAATTGTCCTGATGAGCTTTCCTCTGTGGCACCTAGACTTTATGAATTTAAATACAGCAGCAGATTGGTGACAAGCCTCATCATGGTAAAGATGAAATGGCTAGATGTAGCCATACGTTCGGTGCTAATAGTTTCTTTTCTCGCACTTCTCTCCCGTGGAACGTTCTTCCAGCTTCTTGCTTTATGGTCAACTTTAACCTTCAAAAATTGAAATGCAATATCAACTGTTATCTATGTTACTTAGTCTTTATGAATTTTAGCACAGTACTAGATTGACGGCAAGGTTTCATCATTTTGCAGTTGAAATGGCTAGATGTAACCGTAAGTTCTATGCTAACAGTTTCTTCGTTCGCACTTCTCGCTTGTGGAACTCTTCCGGCTTGTTTCTTCCCAGGCAACTTTGATCTTCAAAAATTAAAATGCAATGCCAGTCGTTATCTTCTGTCTTCTTAATTCTTGTCCTTTTATTTTGTCCTCTCCTTAATAGTAGCTTCTCTCATATTCTCTAAAACACAGTAACTTCTTGTGTCTTAGTGGCTTTATTGCCTTGTTTGGGGTGAAATGATTAGAAAATCATTCTAGATACCATGTCTCTTTAGAATATTGGGGATCATAACTTTCCATAATTTATTTTTCTTTCCGAATAAATTCTCATACAGTTAGATGACTAGATGCACCCATAAGTTCTATGCTAACATTTTCTTCTCTCGTACTTCTCGCTTGTGGAACTCTCTTTCGGCACTTTGCTTTTTTTTATAAAAAATTAACAACATTACATTTTTGTAATGAAATTACTTCAATATATATTTTAAAAATTACCATTTTATCATTTACAACCCTTCTATCTATAAAACATACTGAAAATAGGAAATTATGTACGAAATATCTGTAGTTGAAAGCATAAAATTGTGGTCAAAATATTCAGATTTTGGAATTAAATAACCCATAGAGGTGTTGATATACCGCTGAATAAAATCAACGAACTAACAAACTCTCACGATCTTATCATTTCATTTTAATTTCTTCCTAGTTTATTCCATTCAGTTTTTCCACAGATGCCTGTCTATGACATAAACTACTATATTTTATGGCTAATAAGTGAAACCCAAAAAAGTAAGAGACGCCTTACAAAATTCAGTATATACAACTTTTTTTTACAATTCTGTTCAGAGCTCCAAATTAAGTAAGTGTTTTCTGGAACTTGATTGGATAGGACAAGTCACATGATGTTCTTTCTCCAATTCCGCGCGGTTGAACTTCAAATAACCTGGAAAAAGATCGGGGGTTGGGTTACTGAGTACATTCCTGCGCAAAACTCAGATAGTGATTCGGAGTCGAGCACCGGCTAGTCATAGCAATAAAAACAGCTCGCCACCAACAGACAAACAGGCAGTGAGTGAACAAGTTCCTGCCTCGATCAAAAGTATAGACAAACGTTACTATGACAACGATAGTATCAGCAATGATTTTTCTACACTGAAAAACATACAAATCCGGGACGGAAGCAAGTCCTGTTTTCTCTCTGTGTTTAAAATTACTTCTACCGTACACAATTAGTCAGCATTCACATGCAGATTTCATTAGTGTGTGTTTCACACATACAAACACACACGCACGCACATATTGGCATATATACCATTTGATTTCCTCACTTGAAACAAAACTACTTTGAACTTTGCAGACTCACCTGCAACAAATCATTTCGAACGGTTGAATTACTGGTCTCTCTCTATGGCCACAACAAAGAACATTGAATTTTAATATGTAAATATATGTACCTGACTGTTCTTTCTTCGACGTCCGCGCAGTTGAACTCCAAATGACCTGGAAAAGGGTTTGGTTTTGAAATAAATAAATACATTCCCGCGCAAAACTCATATAGCCGAGCACCGACTAGCCATAGCGATAAAAACGGCTTGCCACCAACAGACAAACAGGCAGTGAGCGAACAAGTCCCTGCCTCGATCAACAGTATAAACACACGTAACCATGACAACGATACCATAACACTGTATAAATGTTATTGCTATATTTAGCTTGGTCATCTTTTTATGCGAAGATCATTTTTTCCCGTTGCTTATAATTTTGTGTTGTATTTGTGGGCACGACACTTGGAGTTTTTTTTTTTTTTTATTTATCTACCTAAAATCCGGGCAGATTGACACCACACTTGCCTTCATGAGATATCTTTTGGCAAAAACACTTATGTGTTTACAAAAAAAAAATCATATTACCTTCACAACTTCGTTTCCGGGCATGATTTTCCCTCTCAATCCTATGACATCTTCAGAAACACAAAATCTTTCGGGTTCATCACAGCCTTTGATCATTATCGGTGCTTTGCTCTCGTTCCTTAAGTAAATATTACCTTCCTCGTCGGAAGATAAAACGATGCCCTGAATCAGGAATAAATAAAGAAATACATTTTAAACCCGCACATACACACGAGTATCAACGAAACTTGAAATGCATTTTTTTTCGGATATTTTAACACCACTTGCATTTTTACCTTTCTTAAAATAAATAGAATAATATGCCCAAAATTTTGCTTATTTTCTTCTGTATTCAATACTAAACGAACCGTTCCTATATATCTTCACGTTTCTGTGTCACATTTTCCATCGTTTGTTATTACTCTATTTAAATAATTAAATTTCTGTACTTGATCGTAACATCCCGAACATGTAGCTTGCATCTTGAACTGACCCTTTTGTTAATAACCATGCAGTCTGTCTTTAAATTAATAGTTAATCTTTTCATTTCGCTTTCCTTTTTTGAGATATTTTTAACTTTTCAATCAGTACATTGTTCTTCTACGTGTCATGTCCCTCTACACAATTTCCTGTTCTTTGTAGATCTTAAACTTTGGCTTTTGAACTCACACTCTTTGGGTCCTGCCACTGGATCAATACTCGGTTAAGGCAGTGGAGAACTTGAAGAGGGGAATTAACAGGAGATAACTGACAACTGACATACATTAAACATGGCACGTGGAACTAGAACAGTCTACCACAGGGAGCGAAATAAAGGGTTCAGTTCGACATTCCAACCACCTGAAGAAGGCCGGAGCGTACAACGGCCGAAACGTTGCAATAAATATGGCGACAATGATGAGGACAATAGTATGAATAATGTAAATAGGAGAAAAACTGTGCTTTATTTTGTAAAAGACGTTTGTAAGCAAACCCGATATCGTTTCATATCAACCTAGTCACATGGAAAAACACTTAACATTGCCTCTAATGCTAACAGTCAACCCACAGAAGGCTGTTGACTTATGGGGTCATCTTGGTTCATCAAATTCCGGTGGAGTTCGTTTTATTCACGTTCGCGCAAATAACTTCGGAAAAGACATAAATAAATCTCCCCCAGGATGTGGGTTAAATAGTAGTACTTGTATCTAGAAGAATCATTCTTATTCTCTAAAAATTGTTAAAGCAATATTCGCTGTTTTTGAATTTAAATAAAATCAAACGGACCGATTAATAAATCAATCTATATATCTCGCCACATAGAACAACAATTATTCATATACATAAAACGCAGTAGCGTACCCAACCCCATATATAAGATTATATGGCCTGACAATTGCGTCTAGCATGAAACAGACTGTTGCCTCTAAGTTTTGACTTCAATGTTCACTTTTATATTTACACTCACTATCTCAGATATTGAGTACTTTATCCTATAAATATAGCACATCTTAAGACTATATTTCTTCATATATATATATATATATATATATATATATATATATATATATATATATAAACAATTACATATATACCTCCGTTTATAGTACGACTCACCAACTTTTTTAGTTCGTATTACAATAATCTTACCCGTTGATTCAAAACATTAACGGATCCCTATTAAACTTACTATTAATAACTTTATTTTTCAATATCTACCTACCAACACTACATTTTGAATTTATGCCCCAATACTATATGATATTATAATAATCTTGAAGTTTGAATCCACAAACAATACAGCGTCGCTCCGATGGGATCCAGAAACAACATTATTGAACAGTTCGTAATTTTTTGTACCGGGTTTTTGTTTATATACCTGATGATTGGCAAAGCTATGAAACACTGAATAGTACTGTAAACATAGGTATATGTGTAATTATTATACTTTATAGCTCTGTTTTCTACATTGAGCATGTTTTGTCTACAACATTGATTAAATACATATTTATTTGCTCGCCTGTGTGTGTACGTAATCGCTCACATATATAGTTGATAATATCTCTTTATTTAGATCATTTCTATCTCTCTCTCATATATATATATATATAGTGGGCGTATATATATATATATATATATATATATAGTATGTATATATATATATATATATATATATATATATAGTAGGCGTATATATATATATATATATATATATATATATATATATATATATATATATATATATATATATATATATATATATATATATAAGTATATATATATATATATATATATATATATATAAGTATATATATATATATATATATATATATATATATATATATATATATATATATATATATATAGTGGGCGTATATATATATATATATATATATATATATAGTGGGCGTATATATATATATATATATAGTGGGCGTATATATATATATATATATAGTATATATATATATATATATATATATATATATATATATATATATATATATATATATATATATATATATATATATATATATATATATATATATATAGTGGGCGTATATATATATATATATATATATATATATATGGGCGTATATATATATATATATATAGTGGGCGTGTATATATATATATATATATATATATATATATATATATATATATATATATATATATATATATATATATATATATATATATAGTAGGCGTATATATATATATATATATATATATATATATATAGTAGGCGTATATATATATATATATATATATATATATATATATATATATATATATATATATATATATATATATATATATATATATAGTGGGCGTATATATATATATATATATATATATAGTAGGCATATATATATATATATATATATATATATATATGTGGGCGTGTATATACACATATATATATATACACACACAGCGCATATATATACACATATAGTGCATATATATATATATATATATATATATATATATATATATATATATATAGTGGGCGTATATATATATATATATATATATAGTGGGCGTATATATATATATATATATATATATATATATATGGCATATATATATATATATATATATATATATATATATATATATATATATATATATATATATATATATATATATATATATATATATATATATATATGTATATATATATATATATATATATATATATATATATATATATATATATATATATATATATATATATAGTATATATATATATATATATATATATAGGGGCATATATATATATATATATATATATATATATATATATATATATATATATATATATATATATATATATATATATATATATGTATATATATATATATATATATAGTGGGCGTATATATATATAGTGGACATTATATATATATATATATATATATATATATAGTGGACATACAAGACGAGTGTGGTATATCACTGAGAGGCCAAGAGAAGAACGAGCAAGTGAAAACAACGGAAGGTACCACTACTTCATCAACCCTATTAGAACGTGCAACATCTCACACATTCGATTTTTCAGCCATATTAAGCACTGCATGTGGCTCTGAGTCGACCAAGGTAAAATTGATGATATTCTGAGACGTCGATACCGGCGATAGTGTGCTAAGTAATTTAATTAGGTAACACTTTCTGCTCTTACTGCATACAACCTACCTTGTGGATTTCTTGCCGGATATTTTGAGCTTCCATGTTTCTTGAGAGACCAGTTAAACTTGCCAAACCTAGACTAAAGAGAACAAAAAAAGAAAAAACAGTTTCAATTATTGCTTTCTGTAACCAACGGAACAAACTTAAGGCGAATGGAATTTAAAAACATTTTCCTGACCCACCATAACTTGTCGTTTGTATCGTAAACTTAAGATATTCTAATTAATTTTTAAAACGAAATAAATTTTATTGGAAAAAGTCCGGATCATCTCTTATAGTTGCTTGCATTAATAAGTAAATAATTAAATTAGCTCCTTTCAAGTTCCATAACTATAAAATAGCCGTGGAAATTCCCCTCTTACATCACTAATTATTTAAGCTTTGCGTACACCTTCATCAAAATACAGGAAGTTGTAGCGAATCGTGATCGTCTATGTTCCGAAGGTTATTTAATTCTTTATTTTTTTTTTGTATATTTCTCGGTACATGTTATGACATAGCAAGAGTAGTGAACGCGATCCTCACTGGGTGCCCCGTACAAAATTCAGTATTAAATAACCGAACAAAGTTTGACATTATTTGCACTATTAACATTATTCGGACTGTTGTCTGCATATTTGTTGGCATATTCACGACGTTTCGGCCGTTGTGCGCTCTGGCCTTCTTCAGGTGATTGGAATTTTGAGCTGAACATTTTTTCGTCTACCGGGGTAGAATGTTCTAGTTCCACGTGACATGCCTCTTCCGGGTGTCTCAGTTATCTCCAAGTTTTTGTTCACCGCTGCAGTAGCCAGATATTGAACTAAAGGTCACATGGCCCAGTGGATAAAAGATTTGGTTGGATCCAATGAGTTGACCCAAATAGTTGTGTGTTTAATACCTGACTACCGCAGTAGTGAGCCGTAACTTGGAGAGTTGAGTTAAAGTGAGATATCCGAGACATCCGGAAGAGCCATGGCACCTGGAACTAGAACAATCTACCCCGGGGTACGAAATAAAGGTTTCGATTCAAAATTCCAATCAACTGAAGAAGACCAGAGCGTAAAAAGGCCGAAACGTCGTGAATATGGCAACAAAAATAAGGGCCACAGTACGAACAATGTAAATAGTGTAAATAATTGCAATACCTCATCTCAGAAATATAGACAGGTTCTGAAGAAGGCCGGAGCGTACAATGGCTGAAACGTCGTAAATATGGCAGTAAAGATGAGGACAACACCTCATCTCAGAAATATAGACAAAGTTTGATATATTGTCAAATCAACCAACCTAACCTGTTTTGCACATGGAATCAAAAAGAAGATCGTCTATCGGCATCTCGACGGGGTGTAATGGTTAACATGATTGCCTCGCTAATACAATTGTGTCCGAGTTGTGAGTTCGATCCTCATTGGGTACATCTTGCTTTTGATCTCGTGCCGCATTTAAACTATACTTATAAAATCATGATAAAGAGTAAGGTCTACTAACCCTGTGTCTTTTTTTTTTTAAGTAACAGAAAAAATCCTATTGCATGAAAAATATAAGAATTAAATTGACCCGCTTACCTGTAAATATCCAATTTATTGGCAGAATTATCAACGAAAAATTCTTTGTTATTAATATAAGTACTTATAATACGTTGATTGTACTCCATATATGTGAAATAGCCCCAATTATGGCTGTCAAGTTCATGAGCCAAGTGGTTTTGTATCTCTCCAATCAAGCTCTGTAAAATGAGATGGGGAAAACAAAATTATATTTAATAAATCTTTGAGAATAACGTGTTATCATTATGTATATTATTTTCATTCGGACTGATATCCTCATCTTTGTTGTTTTTATCACTTGCTCACAGTCTACCTGAATTTCTGAGATGGGGTGTTACCATTATGATGTACTTTATTTTCACCTTGGATGAAGAGTTGTCATGTACCTTATTTACATTCAGACTAATTTCCTCATCTTTAAGTAATTCTTATTAGCGGTACAAAACTTAAATATTGTATAAACTGCGATTGTACAAAATATATGTCAAGAGACAATAGGCCAAGTAATGGCTAGTCACTCCAAGAAGTAAAGAAACTCCTTTTGCTTGCACTGAGATGGTTCACATGGTAAAAATGGGGATTTCAAAATGGTCAAGAGAAATAAACAAACGTTCATTTTCTTTTTCTTTCATACGACATTTTCGTTATTGCAAGTATGGCACGTTCGTATTTTCATTTAATAATAAAATCTCAAAATTCCTTCATTCAAGCACTAAAGAACAATTCCTCACATAGATCTAGCATTAAATTTAGGATTTAAATTCTTAAATATTTTTACTAACTGATATGTCCCGGAAAGGGATATATTTGAACGAAGTAGCTAAGTGGTTTTGGCTACTATAACCAAGTAGAATACGGTAGCAGTAATCGACTGGTACGCGTCGTAGTTGCAGGTAAGAAGTGTATATCAATGGCGTAGTCCAATGGGCGTCGTTATAGACTTAGTTCTCAGACTAAGGCTTTTTGACTCTCCTACACGTCTGTCGTTATTTATGACGGACACCAGCCAATCATATTCCAGTCAGGTGGAACACAGGTGTATTCATATTCCATTATATCACTAACTATGAACATTAAACTTACAATTAAAATTTGAAAATTGTCTTATTTATCTTTTATATTAACAGTGATGAAAAAGGAGCTCAATCCACGAGTCGCATATTAAAAGGTCAAAGAGCCGCATATTAAAGGTCAAAGAGCCGTATGTAGCTAGCGAGCCGAGGTTTGGCCACGCTTGATTCCATTAAGTCGGTTTACAATAAAATTAAATTTTTATTTCTTTTTCAATTGATTTAAATTTGGATCCATTTTGAAGAAAGACAAAACAATAACAACAAATAAAAGGTACAATGCCGACTGAATGGGTGTTTTTATTATTTTTTTTTAATTTTATGATATTTTCTGTAGTCAGATAGGTCGTCAGACAGGTAAGTCGTTATGTGAAGAATTACTGTATTTTAAAGTCAAGATAAAATACCTTCAATATGGTGTCAGTAATTTAACAAAGGTGGATGCCGGTAGTTTAAAAATGACAAATTTATTTACCTGATGTAAATACATTTCGTCTATAGTCGCATTGGGGAAACAATTCCTGTTAAAAGATAGCAATAAGAGAAATTTGATATATACTTTAAAAAATTATACAAAGCTTTTTTCGTCAAAAGGTTTATGCTATTATTAAGAGGAAAGACCAAAGTATTCTTGATAGTTTTATAAAATTTTTAATTCGTTCGAGCACACTCAAAATTTTGATTAAATTCTTGTTTTTCTTGCGTCAGCGGAGGCCTCAAAGATTAGTAAAGGAAATTTTAGCGTATTTTTTGCGTTAAAAACAAACAAAAAAAAAACACATTGATTTGGAAATTCTTGTAAAAATCAAATAATTATCGGGATTTAACAAAACTATCAGAAGTTATGCCCAAATGAAGGAAATTATTTTAAAAACTTAAGAAAAACCTTAGTAGAAACCTTTTTTTCTTTTTTTTTTATACATCTGTTAGAACATCGCCTTTACTTAATGAAATTTCCAGAAATTAAATTTTATCCCTCTTCATATTTATATTAGTTAAAAGCAGCAGTCCTTGGAGAATATAAATCATCATTTTTTTCAAATAGCTACTCATTTGCTGAAAATCTGCTCTGAATCGTAAAATAAAAAAATGTAATCAAACTAAGACATCATATAATTAGAAAAGCTGCTTTTAATTGCTTTCATAAATAAGATATATTAAGGTCACTATTGTGGTTAAAAAGAATTTTCGATGAATAGTGAAATTTTGCAAGATTTATTTTCATTTTTTTTATAACATTTTAATTAAAATAAGTTATTAGTTTTTAATCTTTTAAAATTCTGTATTAATTTCAGCCTTTTAGATGATATTATTAAGTGAAAACTATATTTATAATCATAAATTGAAAAGCTTAGTACAAATCTCCAAACACCAATATTTGAAAAAAAAATTTTTGAATTTTTTTATGTTTATAAACGTGACGATTTTCTACATACGGTCGAGCATACACGACATTATCAGAAAATAAGAGCGATAACTATAGTAAATTTACAATCAAAATATTTAAAATTCAATAAAACTTTCTATTGCGGTGAATATATTTTATTAAATTTTTAAGTTTACTGAGCACTTAAAAATCTATATAGAAGGCGCTGACATTAATTCAATTGCAATTAGTTTTTAATTGGTTTTTTAAAATATTTTGCTTATTGGAAATATTAAAGTTTATCTATTAGCTTGAAATTAAAGCTAAATAAAAGCTGCAAGAAATATATTTCATTTAAAAAATCATTTTAAACCTTAGGAATCTTCTTTTTTCATCTGTTTTTTTTATGTAGAGGTACCTATGCTTATCCTACTTTTTGTAGGGTAACTTGGGACACTTCTATAAATTTTCCTTTAGCTATTGACTAAAGATAAAGTTTTTGTGAAATAAGATCATTCTTATAATTGCCATGCTATTTTTAGCCCTTTCTTTTATGCATAGATGAAAGATATTTAAAAAAAATTATTTCATCCAAAAGCAAGGTATAAAGTCACTTAGACACAAGAGGTTACCGAGAATGAAGGAAAAATGAAAAAAAAAATTGATGAGGTGAAAGAACAATAAAAGGAACAGGATTCAATGAGACAATTGAAGCTGCATTATAAAAATTTTATTTTTTATTTAAAGAAAGAATTTTAAAAAAAAAAGTCAATTTAAATGTAAGTCCGTCTAGGTGGTGTTTTTTTTTTTTGTTTATTTACACGTCTTTTGAGGAAGGTGTATTTTTTTTTGTAAGCCGGACGGTGTGTGTGTGTGTGTGTGTGTGTGTGTGTGTGTGTGTAAAAAGAAAAAACTGTGCAATTTTTATGACCATTTCGGTTCAAGATTTGCCGCCAAAATTGTTGCCAAAATCGTTTGACAAACTCTGATTTTCTTGTGTAAAATTTATGACCCTTTCGGATCAGGAATAGCCGCCAAAAGTGAAATTATTAGAAAGGCCTTTTTTCATATATTGGCCAATGAAAATTGAGTTTTCGAGGCACGTAGAGATTCCGGATGGCCCCAAGTGGAGCCGACTTTTCCAAATAAAAGAGAGGACATTAAGAAATGATGAGGAGAAGCCAAAAAATAACGAAAGGGAACAGAGGCAGAGACGACCCGCAGTTCGCAGACCACTTAACACCAACACTCTACATTGACCGGCAAGTGGGCCATAAATCAGCCTTTCTCTAACTACCTAACCAAACCAATCCGGCCTGCTGTTAATGAAAATTCTTCAAAGAAAGTAGAACCATCCTTTTCCAAACCAATCCGGCCTGTAGTCAACGAAAATTCTTCTAAGGAAGGAGGTGGGTGCCTTGCGTTCTGCTATGTGTTGGTCTCTCTAAAAACTGTCCCTTTTTTATGTACTTTTGTAAAAGCTCTAAAACTTTGTCCCTTTTTTTGGTATTGTTGTAAAGGATCTGAAAACTTTATCCCTTCTTTGGTGTTTTTCGTATTTAAAGGGTCTGAAAACTTTATCCCTTTTGGTGTTTTTTGTATTTTTGAAGGGTCTGAATTTTCAAAAACCGGAGTTAAAGTAAACAATTATTAATTTCATAGCTTGTTTCTGTGGGTATTTCCTTTTTAGAAACCCCAAGAAAATATTGTTATCCTGCCATGTTAGGCGCACAGAAGGAAATTTTTGTGCAACCTTTCTTCTCCTTGTTTGTACTTTTGTGATTATTGTAAAAAGTAATTGTGCAATAAATGTTTATTCCTGTTTTAAAATTTTACGCAGTGATTTGTCTTGTATTTTTAACTCGCGCCTACTAACGGCAGTTATCGTTTATCCTGCCAACTAAATTTTGTGTCTGGCACAAGGAGTTGGTAGTAGAGTGAAAAGAAGAAGGAAACAAACAAATTTTATAGCATTTATATTTTTAAAGATCGTAGTTGACAGAAAAAAACAGGAACACGGAAGAGGTTCTCACAAGCGAGGAGTACGGGAGAAGGAACTATTAACATAGGACTTACAGTTACAAATATATATAACATTGATCAACTAGGTGACTAATTTCATTTCTATTAATCCTAGGGAATTAAAAAACTTTTAAAGTTGATTTTATTGATGTTAAGTTAGATCTTGTTAATGATGTCTTCCAAACTTATATGAAAAGTAATGCTAACCCAATATAGATTCACACCAATTCTAACCACTCTCCATCTGTAATCAAACATATACCCTCATCTATAGAATGTAGGATTAGCAACCATTCATCTGACTAAAATGTGTTTCATAAATACAGCGGTATTTATAATACTGCTTTAAAAGTAGTGATTACAAGTACGCTAAAATAAAATTATAGAAAAATATGATATGAATCTAAGGTAAAGGAATAGGAATTGGAAAATCATTTGGTACACACCCCCATTTAACCAATTAGTCAGTACTAAGTTAGGTCATAAGTTCCTCCATTTAAATGATAATCATTTCCCTAAAAGTAACCCTCTTAGTAAAATATTTAACAGAAATACAATAAAACTAAGTTATAGCTGCACCGATAATCTTGAGAAGATTATAAAGGAACATAATAAACAAATTTAAAAATTTGGATAATAATACACACACAAAGATAAATACTGTTAATAATATTAACCAATGTAATTGCGTGAATTCTAGCGAATGCCCATTACGAAGCCAATGTTTACCCAACTCTCTTGTTCATCTAAGTACTATTTCTACCATAGAGAATCCGACTGTTGAAAAATTTTACATTGGTAGTATTAAGAATTCTTTTAAGACTAGGTGATATCAACATATCTTATCCTTCACCAATAGTACTTATAAAAATGGTACATCTCTTTCTAAATATTTTTGGAATTTAAAAGAAGCTAATAAAACCGCGATGGCGAAATGGAAAATTAAAAAAAAAAAGTTAGATGTAGCTCTTTAAATGAACCCTGTTTTCTAGACTTACATGAAAAATTAGAAATTATCAGATTTTCTGATAAAAATTCATTATTAATAAACGAAAGGAGTTGAATGAAAATTGTAGGCATAGACTACCTTTTACCGTACAATATGTTTAAACTTTGAATTTGATAATACTTTTTCTCACAGTAATAATTAGTAGATGAACTGTGGTGCACCTTATATGGCTTATTCTATTTGTAAGATTTTGATTTAATATTGCTTTGTATTGATGTTTGGTTAGTATTATTAACATCTTATATGGATGTACAGGTGTTTAGTTATTATTATTAACATCTTACATTGATCAGTTGGTATTAACATTTATATGGATGTTCTTTAACTGTTGCATATTAATTTGCCAAATTAATTCTGTATTTTTTTACCAGTTTCTTTAAGGTGTCTTCTATTTATAAACTATAAAATTTTATGTAAGAAGCTGAACGAGCATATAACTGCTTAGCATTGGGTTAAATTACCGCCCTACCCCTTTTATCTTTTACTTATTTAGAAAGTTGAACGTCAGACTTCGATATGTAATAAATTGCCCAAAGAGAAATTATCTAGTATTTACATGCAGACAACTTCGTGTCATGACCTATATTAAATTTTTTCCGATGGGCTTGAATTTAGTGTAGGTCAAATTCGGTTGATTAATTACGGCAAAGAGCACAAGCATTTTTTTTTTTTTTTTTTTTTTTTTAGTATTCTACTTTTGAAATTCAATTAATCATTCGCTTGCTAGTGGTTTAACATCGCCCGAAGAGACACATCTGTGGTGTTGAAACATGATTTTTAACATGTTTTAGTTTTAAAATAAATAATTAGCTCTACTCTGTATTGAGCCCTCTTTTAAATTAAATGTTACGTACATTTGAGTTATACTCCATTTGTTCTCGTTTTACCTAAATATATATACATATATGAGTAAACGTTTGTCACTTAGCTGATTGATGTTACTAATAAATGCAAATGTCAGTGTGTCATAGTATCACACTTTTTCTAATTTACTCCTAGAAGCCGTAGCCCAACATATCATATCATTTTGGAATCAGGCCAATTCCGTGAGCAAATTAAAAACATTCCGGCCCGGATCCGGAGCCGCATTCCTGAAATTCTGAATTCCCCAATTTCCATTACTGCCATTGTTTTTGGATTCCGCCATCTTGGCTTCTACTGATAAAAACAATTAAAGGGACACTAATTTTCATTAACTCATGTTCAAATGAATAAATTAGTGTTTCAAAATAAAATTGTCCATGTTTTCAACTTTACTCTGGGCTGGATTCGGACCCGCAATTCTGAAATTTTGGATTCCCAAGTTTTCATTACTGCAATTGTTTTCAGCGATTTTTTCTTTTTTTATTTGATTTTTTAATGTGATTTTTTTTAACGTGATATTGTTTGTTATCTGATTTTTTACGAGGAATTTTTTGTACGATAACAATATTTATAACGTGGAAATAAATATGTGAATAATCGAAATTAATTGCAAAATCCAACGAAAGTCACCCATGAAATAAAAATAATTCTTTGTATGGAAAGTAAGGACCTACACTCATCAAATCATAAAATTAGTGCTTCAAAATAAAATTGTCTATGTTTTCAACTTTACTCTGGGCCGGATCCGGAGCTGCATTCCTGAATTTCTGGATTCCCAATTTTTTATTACTGCAATTGTTTTTTGGATTCCGCCATCTTGGCTTCTACTGATAAAAACAATTAAAGGGACACTAACTTTCATTAACTCATGTTCAAATTCTGTTTCAAAATAAAATTGTCCATGTTTTCAACTTTATTCTGGGCTGGATTCGGACCCGCAATTCTGAAATTTTGGATTCCCAAGTTTTCATTACTGCAATTGTTTTCGGCGATTTTTATGTGATTTTTTGCGATGAATTTTTGTCTACGATAACAATTTTTATAACTTGGAAATCAATTTGGGAATAATTGAAATTAATTGCGAAATCCAGCGAAAGTTATCCATAAAATAAAAAATAATTGTTTGTACGGAAAGTAAGGACTTATGTACATAAAATTTTCTTTAAATTAAGTGGTGGTAGAAGAATTATTGTTGAACTTTTAAAAGGTTAGCTTAAATATTAATGCAATGCTTAAATGCAGTGATCAATTTTGAGTTCTTCTGTAGTTTATTGTTGCCTATCGCATCTATTCCTCCTTTACTATTGTGATAACGGCCTAATTAAAAACCATTCGCAAGCTTAAATGCTACCAGATATAGCTGTTTTTAACCCTAGAACACTAATCATCAATTAAAGTTCCACCACTACTAACCATGGGTATATCATACCCGATTTTGAAAATATCAAAAAAAATATTAAATATAAATCTGTATTTGAAATATTTTATATGCAGGCACTTCAAACTTTGTACTTTGAATTAACATTAATAGGAACTGAAAAACATTATTTAGGTAAGAAAATCAGGTACTGAAAAAGTGTAATTAAAAATAGGAAAATTTGTGCAGGGTATATTATAACCATGGTTAGTGTTCTAGGGTTAAGCTAATATATAAGTTTTTACATATCGAGAACAATATTGAGGAAAAATTTATGACAAAGTGGAAAAGTAAATTTGCGCCTTGGCTCTTAAACATTTCGCCTTTTATTACCACAGTGTGGGGTATTCCAATAATAAAAATGACAATCCCCCAGCATCCCTCGCTCGTGCGGATGTGCAGTCGTACCAACGTAGCAAATTTAGTCCGACGATGTCCTAAGGGACGAAACATTTTCCACTCCGTTTATATATATCTATCACTTCAAACGTTATTGTAGTGCATACTTGTATTTGAAATATACACCCCATTTTTGTTTTTATTCTAAACAGTATATGTACATTACGTCTATCAGCCTGCGTATTCAAGAAATCTTAATCTCTGGTAGAGATCGAACCTACATCCTCCTTTGTAGGAGAAGCCACATTTTGAGTGCTATACAAGAGTGACACATTTCAGAAATCGCTAAATTGATACATGAAACAGACTTTCGCCACTCGGTTTTGACATCAATGTCCACTATTATATTTATAAACACTATCTCTTGAACATTTTTACTTATAATTTTCTTCTTTTTTTATGCATTACACTCCAGGCAAAGCGGGAAGCCACTAGCACGCAGGGGGGTTACAGAGGATTTGGAGCGAGAGCAGATAAGAGTGATAGAGGAAAGAATGAGGAGAAGGATAGTGGATAGATCAAGGCAACTGGAGATGTCGATTGACATTACATTTGAATCGTTGGAGATTATAGCTATCAGGGAAACAGGAAAAGGGAAGGGAGTTGCACAGGCGAGAGGTGCGAGGTATGAAGCGGTAATATGGAGTGGAAGTGACGGCTACATTTAACAGTTTCAACAGTGGAAGGGTGAGAGCGGGATGCCAGCCTCGTAGGACGCTTGAATTCGCGAAGTCTTGGCACCAGCGAAAGCAGATCATCGGAGCAATTACCATGAAAGTACTTGTAAAAAAGAATATAACATAACTTGAAACTAGATTTTCATCATTATATATAAGAAGTACTCCTCCAAGCATGTTTGATTAAATAGAACGGGCAAGGGCTGCTAAATTTTATCATATTTTTGCAAACTTAGAACAAGTTGTTCAGTATTGTGGTCGAAGTTGTAGATAAACTATCGGAAGTCCATATTTTGTTATTGTCTTGCTTAAGTAAGTTAAACCATCGCAGTCAAGAATAAATGTGCTGTCTGCGTGGAAGTTATAATTCCTTTGTCTGCATCTGGTATTCTTTGGGAAGTTGAAAGTTTGAAATGGTTTGACGTGACGCCATGTTTAACTGTTATAGGGAAGGAGACAACACACAAAAAAATTATTTATATTTTTTTTTCTTTTTTTACTTAACGTTTGAAGAAGTAAAAATTTGTGAGATTAAAAATTCACATATATATATATATATATATATATATATATATATATATATATATATATATATACGCATTGTGTTTAATTGCTTTCCACTCTGTTTAGTCGTGGTGTACAACTGTTTTTTACTTCCTTGATCAACCACAAAAGAAAATAAATGAACAAAAAAAAAAAAAAAAAAAGAAAAACGATTATCAGTCATTTTTTTAAAGTTTATTCGTACGGTGACTACACAAAATAATATTTACTAGAAAGAGCCGTGAGTATTTCAAGTTTTTTTCAAATTAAATCTGATGGATCTTAATTCTTAAGTTAATGATTGAGTAAGCTCATGGTGAGTGATACGACAATAAGATATCCGTAAAAATTCCCCTTACGCATCGTTAAATATTTAAACTTTAACAAAATAATACAATAATAATAAAAAAATGAATGCTGGTCGTTATTTTAAGAAGTTGGTAAAAATAAAAGGACTTGAAATTGACAACTTTTTTCATTTCACTGAAACAGTCGTTAAACAATTTTACTTCTCATCTTTATTTCTTTCATTTTCTCACTGAAACCAAGTAGCGTCTTTTCTCTTTTTGCACGCGATCAAAACTGAATAGTCCATTGTTTATGAGGTATTGCAAGGAGATGTTAAAAACACTTATCTCCCCTTCTTTCTTTCTTTTTTTTTTTTTAACCAAATTCACGTCTTACGAACATTTCTAATACTAATTTAAAAATAATTCAGAAGTCGATGTTATTTTATTTAATTTAAGTTAATTGGATTCTTAGCGATTGCCTTACTCGGTTTTTGTCATTCTGTTACTGTGCGTCTGAAAAAAATGGCTCTTTATCGCGGTAGAAATCGCTTCTCGGCCTTTTGGCTCAGGGAAAGTTCAAAGAATATTAAGCCCAAGCCCTCTTTCCACGTGATCAAAACGGAGAATAGTCCATTATTTATGAAGTATTGGCAGGACATAACGGTCGCGCTAATGAAGGGGGTGTCAAGCACAGTTATAATAGGATGTTCTTTCTCAATTTATTGAATGTGTCTTTTTTTTTTTTTAATTTTGTATCCCTAGAAAAACTTTCAGTTCTTAAGCACTACATGATGCATACGGTGTATTTAACATTTGATAATTTTGAAGCAATATGCACTTGAACGTTTTAGGCAGTTTTGATCAATATCTTTTTATGGTTTGCCATAAGGAATTGTAAATGAAGGACTACCTTAAATAATAGCATTTATTTATAACATTTATTAAGAATTTATTACAGGTAATATCAAGTTTTACGGAAATATTGTTGAGAATTATGTATTAAGTTACATAAATAAATAAAAATAATATATGTTTTGATGCTATATTCGATTTGTTAGGTATTTTTCATTTTCTTCTTTGTTATTTTAGAATACTTTGGCTGGAGTTATTTTGTTCATGCTTTGTTACCTCTCTTTTCTTTCAGTCATTTTGATGGTCAATGGCGAAGTTCTAAAATTTAGAATGATCTTATTCCATTTCAAAAATGAAGCCTATAAAAAATATTTCAAATTAATGTACGACCAAAAATAAAATGCTTTTGACAAAAAAAACCTTAATGATTTCACTATAATTATGTAACAATGTAATATTCCGCAGACAAATATACGATTTATGTTACCTCATCTCATTGCCTGGTTACGAACTATAAACCTAAATTGAGCTTGAAATCGGCCCTAATTTTTTGTAAAATATTTGGATATGATATAATGAATAATTTGCAGTGAAAAAGCAATTTTTTTTTTGTTTTTTTGTTTTTTTGTTGAATACGCCCCTTCTCTGCCAAACGCGTCATATAATCTTTTTTTTTTTTTATACCAATTATGCCCGATGATGAAACAGAACACTACTTACATTTGATGAGTGGGTGGTGTAGGACTTTGTTCAAAACTTGGTATGTTGTATACTATCCGAGGTGACCTTGGGTCCAGAGAATACGGTGGTGACTTAGGACTGTACATACGGTCGACGGGAAAATGTGAAAACGCTTGATTGTGGTACATGTTCAGAATATCCGAAATGTATGCATTGACTGAGGTCGCGCCACTATTTGACACTTTTTGAAGTCGTTGGTAAAACTGAAAAGATAAGATTTAAAAGAACGCGTCAGTAAAACAAAAGAAAATAATTGCTGGCCCCTCGTACCCGAGTATATTTGAATACTAGGGTGGTTAACCAATCCCTGTTACAGACGCCTGCTCAGGAATATTTGTGTTTATTCAAAACTCACCGGTCGTATTCATCCTCCTCTACAAGTGTGAGGCTTGGACACTCCTAGTTCAGGCAGCAAAAAGGATCCAGACGTTCGAGAACAAAAGCTTGAGAAAACTCCTCCGCATCTGCTACCTGGGAGCACAAAACTAATGACTATGTACGGAACAAGATCAAAAGTTTCGCGGGCCGACAGGAATCTCACCTCGTCACTATTAAGCGTCGAAAGATGGCATGGTTTTGACACGTCACACTGTTAAATAATAGTTTAGCAGACTAATATTTTTTGGCGGAAGTGTATTTCTGCTCCGACTTTTTTTTTTTTTTTTTAAGCGTTTCATCCCAAGCAAGGTGGGAAGCCACTAGGACGCAAGGGGTTACAGAAAATTTGGAGGAAGATCAGATAGGAGTGATAGAAGAAAGGAGGAGGAGAAGGGTAGTGGATAGATCAAGGCAACTGGAGATGTCGGTTGACATTACATTTGAATAGCTGGAGATTATAGCTCTCAGGGAAACTGGAATAGGGAAGGGAGTTCCACAGGCGAGAGGTGCGAGTCATGAAGCTATTGGCGTAGAAGAGACGGCTACATTTAGGAGTTTCGATAGTGAAGGGGTGAGAGCGGGATGCCAGCCTCGTCGGCCGCTTGAACTCTGGGAACCAGCGAATGCAGCTCCTCGGAGCAATTGCCATGAAAGTATTTGTAAAACAGACAGAGAGAGGCGACAGCGCGTCTGTGAGAGAGCGACTGTAGACGAGATGCCAGAACAGAGCCAATTATATTGCATATCCGCCTCTGGAGCTTATCAAGAACCCCGAGGCAAACAGAAGGGGCTCCAGACCATATATGGCAGCAATACTCCATGCAAGGGCGAATTGTTGATTTGTAGATCTGGAGGATTGATTCCGGGGAGAAAAATTTTCTGGCGCGGCACAGGGAGCCAACTTTCCTCAGTTTGACCTTAGGGATCAGATAGAAGACAAAATAGAGAGAAGTCGATTTTGATTGGCTGAACTAGCGTGGGAATCATAGATAGAGAAAGGTTTTTACACGTCGAACAATGTAGACGTGTCTGGAAACTACTCCCCAGTGAAGGGGGAGAGTAACCCCACTAGTTAGTTAGAAATGTACACGGCGACATGTTTAATAAAATAGATACTTTTAAATTCCCTTCGTTAATGTTTTGGTTCGGATATAAAAAGACATCTAGCAATCACCGGCCGAGAGAAGACAGGAGAAGCAAGATATAACATATGAGTGAATCGATGCCGTCGCCTAAGACCCCCACCCCCACCATGAGGCTATACAACAACACGACACAACAGCTGCAAGACCATCATTCAAAAGACTGTTGAAGGAGGCTGTCAATGTAAAATCTGGCCCGGCAACATCAAACAGTGGACGGACATGACAGTGCTGAATTTCTTGAGAACCACCATCAACAGATCAGTTTCCTTGTTTAAGTTGGTCACTGCTGCTATAATCCTTGCCTTCAGTTCATCGTTGGTGTTACATAGAATTCTTTTGGTCTCTCGCTCAGTTGCGTCGCACAACTAATCAAGGGTTTTGCAGTCTGGAGAGTTAGGTGGTCATATATAAGAGGTAATGTGGCCGCAGACGGGGTTCTCCTGCTTGTGTGGCATGATGCAGAGTCCTTTTACCCGGAATTAAAAATATAAAATGGCAACAATTTACCCGTTGCAGCCTGTAAATCTCACTTTTTAAAGTTTATTTTTCGAGTTTATCAGTAAAATTTTGACAAATACTGCTGGAATGTTTTCATATATATAAATATATATAATTATACCGTCATCATTACAAGAATTTGGGACTATACTTAGGATTAAATAATTATTAACTTTCAAATCACATTTCTTGTGTATAATACAACTTGTGTATAATACGAACCCATTTTTCTGAAGATAAAAACGGAATAATTTACATATTTAAATAAGTACCACCAACGATATAAATAGCCAGAAAAAATCTATAACAAACTGTTGGTATTTAACCAAACTTGTATAAATTAAATATATAAATAAATTCTTCGCACACATGTATATATATATATATATATATATATATATATATATATATATATATATATATTTAATTTATTGCTAATACCGCTTGAAGAGTGGATGGAGCCGGGTTGCTGAGGGTAACATCAATCAGCTAAGTTTACTTGTATTCATTTTCTCTCTCTCACATACATATATATATATATATATATATATATATATATATATATATATATAGTGTATTTAGGCCGCAATCTTTTCTACGGGTTTCAATTGAGACGACACTGACAAGGCACTGCGACTATACTTTTTATTATATTTTCTTGCATTTGAAAAATTGATTTTTGGGACAAGAACTCACTTGTACAAATGCAAGAAAAGTATACAGTAATCTATCTTCCCTTCTTTCATTTTCTCTCTGAAACCAAGTAGCGTTTTTGATACGTCTTCTCACGCGATCTAAAGGGAATAGTCCATTATTTATGAGGTATTAGCAGGAGTCGTTAAACAGTCTTTCTTTTTTCACTGAAATCAAGTAGTGTCTCTGATATGTCTTTTTTGCCATACAGTCAAAACGGAATAGTTATTTATTTTAAGATACTGACAGGGCATAATGGTCGTGCGAACTAACGAAGAGAAGGACAATCACACAACTATTATTATTATTATTGAATATATTATAAAGCCCTCCAGGAAGAGAAAATGCCTCTGGCCCGAAGTGATCTAGTGAATTAATCTTGAAAAGGTCACTTAACCTTCAATTTTTAAACGATTCTTCAAAATACAAAAGGTAGTTCAAGCCTTTGGTCTATAGTATACGCTGAACTCACAACTTTTAATGGAATTTAGAATAATTAATCTAAAACAAGATTAATCAAGCACAGAATAAAAACGACGACGCTGATTGGATAAAGAAAGAATCAATCCCTGTACGTGTAATGGTCACACGACACTGGCTATATAAAAGCTAATTTCAAAGACCTAACCATTTTTTCTTCTACCACGTTATCAAGGCAGCACGAAGCGAGGCATTTTCCCCCCACCATTAGCCCAGGACAGTGACCTGAAGTTACGGAATAACAGAGTCGGCAACATTAAGAGAAATTACTACTATCTAAAGAAGCTATTCATAAACTGAAAATTACCTCTTCTTTAACAAGGACACTTGATAGAATACCCGGATGCCTTTTCTCAAAAGCTAAGCCAGCAGACCGACATTATCAGCAAACACTTCTTTTCGTTTATTTCTCTTTATATATTTGGATATTAAATATATTTAAATAGCACACGTTGTTGCATATTTCTCTTCAAAAGTTGTCACCCATTTCGTTTGAGCGCACGGAACTTGGTACTAACACTTCATAAACTTGTGATAGTTTTCTGGTGTATTATTGTGGATATAATCACCGCATTTTACCAATAATCCTCTACACGGACTTTTTCGTGTATACAAATTGTATGGAATTTATAAGTGCTGCAATTTTGAGATGAGTCATTCGTTGGATAAGCTTTAAATAAACGAACACACAGACAGAATCATTACATTGCAGCGCCGTATAAGATAACGTTACAATTCAGTGTCTCATGCCTTTTTAGCAATCGTCAGGTAGAAATCTAATACTAAAATTCATACCAGTTGGCCCAATTTATATTCTGTACATGTTTTGGAATTAGTATTCATGGCTAACCCGGATATTGTTTATTGTCTATTTTCTCCTTCTGTCAGGCACGGTTGGCGTCTCACGCCACTTCTCAAACTCGGGAAACGTATGAATCCATCTCCTCCCCAACGCTACGGGTTAAATAGTAGGACTCGTATATAGAAAAACATTGTCAAATTCATAAAAATTGTTAATGTAATATTCATTCGCAAAAATAATTATTTTTCGGCTTTAAATGACTTATGCGTCCTGGGTAAGACGTTAAGCTACATCCGCGTCCTGGGTAAGACGATAAACTACATCTGCGTCCTGGGTAAGACGATAAACTACATCTGCGTCCTGGGTAAGACGATAAACTACATCTGCGTCCTGGGTAAGACGATAAACTACATCCAACAGTAAGGTCTCTGATCAGGAGGTTTTGAGGAGCGTGGAACCAGCTCTTAATTGCTGCTGTTCCCAGGTCCATTCTGACCCAGAGATGTAGCACCTGTTAGGGTTCCAGCTATGGGCAAATAGTTAACTATGACCAGTAATACTTTTTTGAAAAAATTTTTACCAGCAACACAATTTTGAAGGAAAAATATTACCAGAAAAAGATTTTTGACAAAACAAAATATTACCAGCAACAAAAAGTTGTCGGCATTAAATAACCTATTGAGGTGGATATGCCGTAAAACAAAATAAATCAAACCAATTAAGTGACTAAAAGGGTTGATAAATAAATCATTCAAGGCACTCCTTCCATCGTAACTTACTCAACCTAGACAGCGAAGCGATTCTGATAGAAAATCCTAACAGGATAACTGTTGGCAGCTACAATCTTAACAATATAAGATATCCAGATGTGACAGTGTTTTTTTTTTAAGTATTTTACCCCAAGCAAGGCGGGAGTGCCACTAGTACGCAAGGAGTTACAGAGATTGAAAATAAGTGAAAAGAATGAGTATGGGGGTGAGGAAAGGATAAAAAAGAAGTACGGGGATCAAGGCATCAGAAGATGTCGATTGAATTTTGAAGATTATAGTTATCAGGAAAGCAAGTAAGAGGAAGGGAGTTCCACTGTCGGGAAGTGCGAGAGAAGAAACTGTTAGAGTTGAAGAGGCGGTTACATTTAACTGTTTCAACAGAAAAAGGGTGGGACCGAGTTGCCAACCTAGTAGCACGCTTAAATTCATGCAGTTTG